AATCCCCTCCATTCAAAACTGGGAAGAACAATTTTGAAACTTTCTGCAAAGAACAAGAATTTCAAAATTCTGTTTTGAAAAAGTGGAAACATTTTGTTTCAACCTTTTCAGAATGTTTGAGACTATAGGCATCTCTGGGCTTCTGGGAGCCCCAACTCAGAGGCAGCCTGCTGGAAGTCTAGGCTGCTGAGGAGCTAAGCAAGCTGGCAGGAAACCAAGCAAACTTCCATTGGAAGTTCTGTTGGAATTCAGTTGAAATCAATACATTCCTGTGGAATGTTTGGATTTTGACAAATTGGCATTTTCTGATGGAAAAGCATTCTATTTGGCCAAGTCTAGGTAGTACTAGTTCGGTTGCAACCAGTCAGTTGCTCCTCTGTCCATGTTTATACTAATTCTAATGAAGCTTGACTCTACAAGCTGATCTGAAGTTTTTCTGTAGGTCAGACAAACCTCCTGAGGAGACTCGCCCTGCTTGTCATTTGACCATACATTCATTAAATTGGCTTGCATTCAGAGGACCAAATGCTAACTGGGTATCATCTTGTATCTGTTTGTTCCTTCAGCTTTGATTCCTTTGGACCTGTTGTCTTTCTTTGGAGCTATTGCATAATATTCTACCTTTTATAAAACTGCTTATAGGTGACGCTTCCTGTGTGAAAAGACAAGGCATGTAAAGACAATGGATATATAAATCTCAATTGAAGTTTGAAATGAGTTGCACTAGCAGTTCTGCATTTTGTTTTTATATCCAATATGATTTATACTAAGGAACCCAGATGCTCCCATAAAATAGGTTAACCTGCATTAAATTACTCTGGCTTGAACTTGCATTCGGTGTCCAATATTAGCCTGACAGCCTCTGATACAGAGAAACAGATGTGTATCTATTTGTTTCTTGATGCTTATATGTACAGTTGCTAGGACCTGTCCAGTGTCCTTAGACTCTTGCAAAATGTTACTCTAGTGACCTCAAATGAGTGCTTATCATATGCTGTCTCAACAAGTCTTTCTAATATTTTTCTATTAACATCTTTATACAACTAACCTTTTGATTTTTCACCGTACCATTCCTTCAAGTTAAAATTGCAGTGGAGCATTAATGATAAATTTGACCTGAAATTTTGGAACATTTCTTTTAGAGAGCATGAAAGTAATATAACTGAATGTAAATGTCACATTGGGTGGATTAAAAACTTTCTGAACTTTCATGAATAAGTTTGTTTGGTATTACATATTGCGGATCTCTACTTCAGCAAAAGCTGATGCTAAATTATTGGTGACTTATGGAAAACTCACTTGTTTGATGTTAATTGACATCTTACTAGTCATGGCTGGTACGTTCCTGTTAACCCTAAGAATGATCGCGAGGAAGGGTGGCGATTTTGCATTTTAAAAGTAAGCTAGCGTTGCAAGAGTCTAAGAACCTGTAAATAATACAGTATGAGTAGAGCAGTGTTAGATACTTAAGTTGTCAAATTACTTAATTTAGTCCTATCCAGTGCTTAACAGAGCCTTGAGTTATCTCTCCCTTCTTAAAGCTGAAGGTGAAAAGAATAAAAGCAATCTTGCTATAGTCTGTTCTGATCAATGTGGCCCACCTCCTTAATAAAGTAGGCAAATGCTAATACACTCAATCTTGCTGTAAAATAATTTTATGTACACCCTCCTTTTGCGTAGACAGTCTTCCAAATTTTCTCTTTGTGAAAGTTCATAAAATATTTTTTAAATATCCAAGCATGAAATTCCTATTTTGTCAGTGATAGGAAGGCAATGGAAGGGTTTTAACTTTTTGCTTTTTGTTTGTCCTGTGTTGAGTAATTAATACTCCCTTTTTTTTTTTTTTTACCCCCCTGGGGGTTCTCAGCCTTTTTCTTGCTGAGGCTCCGCTCAACATGCTATAAAAACGCCAAGGCGCAGTGCGGGGGTGTGGGAAGTTCTGGGCCAGCGTAGGTCCTTGGGCATAGGCATAGTTTTACTTCTATTTTGGGGGAGCAAGAGCTGCCAAGGCTTGAGCCAGCTCCACACAGCAGGGTTCAGGGACGGAGTGCCACCTCCACCCTCTCACTCACTCAAGAGGCCACCCAGCCTGTCTGGGCTGTGGGAGCACGCAAAAATATAACTCAAAGGGGAAACTCAGTTCAAAAAGTTTGAAAACCGCTCAGGGTGCAGGGAGGGGATAACATGGGGCTGTGTATAGGCAGGGGGGGACTCCTAGTGCAGCTCCTAGCTTTGGGGGTGGGCACTGGGGATCCCGGTTTTAGCCTGCCACTGCTCCCAGTTTGTGGAGGGAGGTTTGCCGCCTTCAGGCCCTTGCCACTTTGAGGGGATGGGGTGGCTACTGCCTTTAGCACTGCGCCGCTTCCAGCTTCAGTGCTGGGCCTCAGGGCAGCGGGTTTCAGCCACGGGGCTCTGTGGCCCCGCTGGTGAGAACCACTGCTCTTTCCCACAGATTAATTAGCTCAGACCTTAACCCAGTTTGGATAGCCATACAGAGTACATGGCAAAATTTAATTTTGTACTCTTAGACATGTAAATATCACTGTGTATAATTCTTACAAATTGAGCACCTTCCTTAAGAATATACCCCATCATTCTCCGATTCAAGTAATGTACATTTTTTTCATAAAGTTTACATAAAATACTTGAGTTCAGATCCTCGGTTGTGGCATGGCCAATTTGTGCTCCACTGCCATTGGTTCATAGGCATGAAGCCAAGTGGCCCCAGGAAGATCACTGCACCATAATAGGATCCTGTGGTATATAGGCTCTGACACCCTGCACTCTTATGTCGGTTTAGAGGGCAAAGCTAGGCCTACCGTACATTCTGCTGGCCAGCCCCTAGGCCGCCAATTGCGGTTAGCCAGTGTAATTTAGAGAGCTTGCTGTAGCCTAATGCTGGGTGACTGGGCCAGTGCACAGCCAGTCCAGGATGGGAGAAACTCGGAGGCCAGCTTTGCAACCCACCTCCCCCACAAGCTGCACTTTATCCACCTCAGCTATAGCTGAGCCTCTGGGCCTTAATCTTTTAATGTTGCATCATCATTGGAGCCCAGATGTAAGGAGAGCATCCAGTTGATTACAAGTAAAGCTAATAGCTTAAGGAGATGCAACTGATTAGTATATTTTATAATCAGGGTCACTTCAACACTTTTCCAACATGTTTACTTAATACATTGGTCTGTCTAGGAAAAATCTTTTTAATTCATGGGAATATTATATAATATGTTCTGAAATGTTGCACCAGCCTCTTGACTCTCAACTGGCTCATATACAGATGTAAATCCTGATGTTTCTTGATTTTCTCCAGTGAAATAAGAAAAAAAGCTTGTCATCTTGATGCGTTGGCCCATCTTTGCAGGGGGGAAAAAACACTATCCTGAAAATCATTTGATAAATCACTTTAAATTCAGTGAATACTCTACTATTTAGAGAGCAGCCTAACATTATTGTAGGGGTTGGCAACCTTTCAGAAGTGGTGTGCCGAGTCTTCATTTATTCACTTCAGTTTGAGGTTTCGCATGCCAATAATACATGTTAACATTTTTTAGGTCTTTCTCTATAAGTCTATATATTATATAACTAAACTATTGTCGTATGTAAAGTAAACAAGGTTTTCAAAATGTTTAAGAAGTTTCATTTAAAATTAAATTAAAATGCTGATCTTACATCGCCGGCCCGCTCAGCCTGCTGCCAGCCTGGGGTTCCGTTCACCCCAATTGGCGGCTGAGCGGGGCCGGCAGCCGGTACTCCAGACCGGCAAGGGGCTGAGCAGCTCAGCCCACTGCCACTCAGCCCGCTGCTGGTCTGGGGTTCCATCCGCCGGCTCCTGCTGGCCCCACTCAGTCTGGGATCCCGGCCCTGCCCACATAGAGTGGGTACCTACCTTCTCCCTGGTTCTAGCCCGTTCTCTTCCTCTCTGTCTGCACTGAACTGAGGGTGGGAGTGCACTGAACACAGGGCTGGGGGTGAAGGAGCAGGCTGGGGGTTGGGGTGTAGGGTCTGGCCAAGAGCTAAATGAGGGAGGGGCTCAACTTTGTGGCAGGAGCTTTGGGTGTGGAGTGCTTACCTGGGCAGCTCCCATTTGGTGCGAGGGGTGCAGGTAGGAATGTGGGGGGGGAGGGTGCAGGAGCTCCTATTTGGTGCTCACAGTGGAAGGGGTGCAAGAGTCAGGGGACGAGGTATGGGGGGTATGTGTGTGGGGGTGCTGGGGTCAGGGCTGGGGTCATGGGGGGGTGCAGGGGTCAGGGCAGAGGGCTGGGTGTATGTGAGGGGGAGTGCAGGGGTCAGGGCAGAGGGCTGGGGGTGTGGGCTGGGATCATGATGGTGCTCTCAGCCCCCTGCCCAGAGCGGCTCATAGCAGGGGGTTGGAGGGGATATGCCCTGATTCCACCCCCTTCCCCAAGACCCCATCCCCACCTCTTCTGCCCCTCCCTCGCAAGGGCCATCAGCTGATCGATAGGTGGCAGGGAGGGAGAGGAGGAGGGGCAGGCATGCAGCACAGCAGGGGGAGGGGGGAGCTTGCCTGCCCTGCAGCAGCAGCCGGCAGAACCAAGCTTCTTCATCCTGCTCCCGGGGTGGGGAGGCGGATAAGAGCGGCCCGGGGTATGAGCTGGCATGCCATTGGTTGCCGACCCCTGCATTATTGCTTTGAATCTTTAGGCAAAACCTTATGTAATTAAACTTAATGTTTGTCTCAGTTCTTTGGAATACTTTAATGATACCTCAGCCTTAATGAAGCCTCAGGTTAGTTTAAGAGTTGCATTAACCCTGAATCAGCATGATTTAGTGAGTCATGTGTTCAGCTGTTCTTCTGTCCAAAGCTTAAGTATGAAAAGTATTGTAACATAGCATAAAACAAAACCAATCTGTACTATGGAAGGTGGCTATGGGATGGGCAGGGAGTGAAGGGGGTTGAGAAGATTGAGAAGGGGGTCAGTGTGTTTTATGGAACACTTCTGTTAATAGTAATCATAATACTGTATAACTGAAACTTTCAGCTTGCCTAAGGTAGTTAAGAGACGGGTGAATGCTCTCAAGAACCTTCAAGTTAAGTGTGCACAGATAGAAGCAAAGTTCTACGAGGAAGTTCATGAGCTGGAAAGAAAGTATGCTGCTCTCTATCAACCTTTGTTTGATAAGGTAACAACTCTGTGCTAATATGACTTTATTTGTAAGCTCTAGTTAACTAAAATCCCAAAAGAAAGGATTACAATGGGAATAAACATCAGTGGTGCATATCTGTAGCTATATGGTGTTACAGTTCCATGTGGGGCCAGATGTGAACCCCTCAGTCTCTTGAGTGAATTGATTCCAATAGGACCACCCATGAGAGTAACTAGTGTGATTAAGGGTCTCAAGGCCTGGGTGGTTATTTTGGATGGGGATAGGAGTAAAGTGTAATGTTACTGTTGAGTGTCAGATGAGGTCAAGAAGCAAATGGAATGCATTCCCCAAAGGGAGAGCTTGGATTACAGTACTAATTGCAAAAACATACAATTTACTGGGAGCAGTGGTTTATTATGGGCATTACGTAGTTCAGATTCATTATTATAAAATTATACAGTAAATCTGAAAGACTTCATGATTTTATTTTCCAGCGAAGTGAAATCATCAATGCGATTTATGAACCTACAGAAGAAGAATGTGAATGGAAAGCAGATGCTGAAGAAGAAATTTCAGTGAGTATCTCCACTGTATCTGAAGAGAACAATTGATGGCATATTTCAAGCTTTAACACACTAAGCAAGACCCAATACTGTAGCAAAATTTAAAATGCCAGCAGTGAAATTCCCATAATAGCTTTTTGTGGCTCTGTAAAGTAGCTGCAAAGCTTGACTTCTAGTTACGGGCGCACTGACTTTATCATAAAATCATGTGCTTTACCGGAGTATCTGGTACTGGTGATAACTCTTATTAAATTTTAGAAAGTTTAACATTTTTATTTTATCAAGGAGGAAATGAAAGAGAAGGCCAAGCTTGAAGAGGAGAAAAAAGATGAAGAAAAAGAAGACCCTAAAGGAATTCCTGAGTTTTGGCTGACAGTATTTAAGAACGTGGACTTGCTTAGTGATATGGTTCAGGTAGGTGGTGACCTAAAGTTAAATGTAATCATAAGTCTTAAAATTTGTACTGGTCTGCTCCTAGAAATTGTGGAAATAGTGATATGATTTGGGTGTTTTGGTATTCTTCTGGTAGGATCAAATGGCTTGTATCCCATTTCAAAGTGCTTTGTCAATGGAATGATGTATCATGCTCCCATGCCTGTTCAGCCTGACACATCTTATTGTTTAGTTGCCAGTTACATTCCTTACACAAGTCTTCACATATTCAGTGATGAATTGCATATCAAATGATGAGAAACTGCCTTTCATGATTGAATAAGATTGAGGATGCTTATATAATTTAAATGATTTACTGTGCCTATTTATTACTTTACTATTGCCCTCTGCTGGTCAAATAATTGTATACAATATTTTCAAATGCCTATCGCAGGTTCTTATCTACTGTAAAACAAATATTAAATATACCTGTGCCCCTTTCACCCCAATGCTTTTTTTATTTTGTAACTAGCTTAACTCAAATGCTGTTTGTATGAAAAATGCTATGCATTGATTTAAAATCATTTTTATTTAAAGGAACATGATGAACCTATCCTGAAACACTTAAAAGATATTAAAGTGAAGTTCTCAGAAGCTGGTCAGCCTATGGTAAGCTTAACATCATAGACAAACTGTATTTATTTCTGCATGATAAGATTAAAATTGACACTGGGGACATAGTGGTGGTCTGTGCCTGTCAAATATTTGATGGTGCCTTTTGGATTCTGAAGAATTTTTAGTCTGTTCTTCGTGAGAAATGGCACTAGCGTACTGTTAATACAGTCATATATAAAATGACCACACATCTCTTGTATTATGACAGTTTAATCAATTAGATACAAAATCTAGCTATAATCAGTATTTGCAGCTAGGAGTTTTTCAGATTTGGACACAATTTCAAAAATGTAGTTGCTGATAATTGTCCTTGAACTGATTACCTATGTTGCTTGCAAGAAATTATGTAGTAGCAGTAGTCCAGAGGTTTAGTTCTACATTATAACACACAAATCACTGTTTATCTCACTTCAAAAGGTATGAGGCAGAAGATGAAAATCATAATCCTAGATGCCAGTATGAAATTAAGAAAACTTTTTAAATTATTGTAATTTGGGGATAGAAATTGTTTTAGAATTTTCAGTCTCGTATATTGGGCAAAATTGACATTAAGTAAGCCACTTTATTACTGGAAAAGGGGTGTACACTGATTTGGGATATCTGATTCTTGGATATTAGGAGTTAATCATTATGATTTTTGAAATTAAAGATGAGGAAATGTTGCTCAGTTGCTAATAACACTGTCTTTTGGTAATTGTTTTTAGAGTTTCACGTTAGAATTTCACTTTGAATCAAATGACTTCTTCACAAATGAAGTGTTGACAAAGTCATACAGAATGAGATCAGAGCCAGATGATTCTGATCCCTTCTCCTTTGATGGACCAGAAATTATGGGTTGTACAGGGTAAGTGTTAACCACCTTTTCATGGCTCCTCTTAATATTTGGCTGAGCTTGCAATCATAAAATCATAGAACTGGAAGGGACCTCGAGAGGTCATCTAGTCCAGTCCCCTGCATTCAAGGCAGGATTAAGTATTAGTCTTACTTTCAAGCAATGGCCTTACATTCAGCTTGCTGGGATTTCTGTTTGGCTATGCATGAAATGGGATAACTTTTGAACGCTGCATCCAATCAGCTCTAAAATTTCAGACCATGTACTAGGCAACAATGGTCAGAACCTTGTTGACTTTTGTGGGGGGAACAATAGGGGCATAAATGAGGGGTACATGAAGCCCCAGACAGTTCTTTAGTACAATCACAGCCTCAAACATCTCTGCAATTGTGTAAATAGCAAAAAGCTGGTCCCTATACCCATGAATAGAGTTAATATGTTGACACTCTGAATGTCTTATCTCTCAAATGGATTGAACCATTATTCTTTCTAAATTTTATATAGCATCGTTCCTTGAATTGATCTTCTAGAGCAAATACACAGTTCAGGAGGACAGTCCTATAATAAGTGTTAAATTGAGACACCTCAAACGTATAACTTCTGGGTTTAGGATCACTTGCAATGTTCATCAAATATGGAGATCCATGCAATCAGTGCTTCAAGAATGAACATTTACTGACTTAATTTTTGTTGTTTGCCTGAGTTTTTGGGTCTTAGTGAAAGAAACTAAGTAAATGAACTTGCGTGGGGTTCGTCCCTTGTCTGTCCTTGGCAGGTTGTGTACATAGTAATCATTGGAACTGTCTACAAAGTACCATGAGCCCACATCTAAGTGAGTGTGCAGCTTTGCCGGCAGTCATTTTATTAGCAAGTAACAATTCTTATCCATTTCAGACTTGGCACGCTTCTGTCACAGCTATATTTCCTTCTTCTAATTTTCCTCCTGTTTCTCCTCCACCCCAACCTGGTGGTATTAACATATTTGGTTGTCTTTCTCATGTCTCAACCTTTTTTGTGGCCTTTATAATTGAAAAGCCCTCACACCATCGTTGGTGCCAACTAAATTACTACCCCCTATTCAAATCGTTCCTGAAAAAGTACTTTGTCCATGCAACATGTCAATGATTCATGGAAGGAAAGTGGCACCTGGTCAGTGTTGACAAAGTTCATGGGATAGGCATTGTCTTCCATAGTCTTGAACACTGTTGAGCAAATTAAAAGTGTGTGATAGTCTTGTTGTAGAGTAAAACTGAGTTATGCTCTTATCCTTCCACCTGCCAGGGCTTAAAAGTGAAACGTAATATGTGAGGGGCCCAAAATATTATTCATGCAGGAAATAAGTGCTGTAGGATAACTTTCTGTAACCTCAGTTTATTTTTTTTATTTCTGATGTAAATATTTTCAACCAGAAAAGTGGTGGGGGGGAGAAAGGCTCCTGATTGGAAGGAATTTTGGGAGTAGAATGAGTAATTCACCTGAAAATGAAGTACCCATGAGCGTTATGGCTAGCCCACAGTGTTTTCTCCAAATACATAATAATTTTCAAGATCACCTTAAAATAGACAACTGGCTGTACTTAAATATTTAACCATATCCTTAGACTAGGGGTAACTTTAGTGTGTAAAAACAATGTGAAATTGTAAGTATGTCCCAGTTTGATAGTTATTTTCCTTATTTCTTGCAGGTGCCAAATAGACTGGAAAAAAGGAAAAAATGTTACTTTGAAAACCATCAAAAAGAAGCAGAAACACAAGGGACGTGGGACAGTTAGAACAGTGACAAAAACTGTCTCTAATGATTCTTTCTTCAATTTCTTTAGTCCCCCTGAAGGTAAGTATTGTCTGGATTAATTTGCGATGAATTATATGTAGTATTTTTTTTAAATTACTTATTTTTTCCCCCCCCCCTCTTTCTTACAGTTCCTGAAAGTGGAGACCTGGTAAGTTGAAGAAATTCAATACACCAAATTTGGAAAGAATGTGTGCTACTTAAGCTATAACTTGGGAAGATATTAAACTATTCTAGCTATTTCTTCATGTAATAAGGAACACTTCTCTAGTAAATACTGTTTAGCACGTATTCTGGCTTGCTTTATGGGAAGATCTATTCAGGCTGTATAAGAGCATTCTTAGTTGTAATTAGTATATTTTGGGCTTGTTGATGCTTGTGAAGGATAAACTGGAGTTGTCTTGTAAAGGTTAAAATTTGAATAAAGTTGGGACTCATGAAAGTGAGGAACCAATAATACCAGCCTAAGGTGAGTGTCAAACTAACTTGAACTACAGTCTCTAAAGGAGAAAGATTTAATTAACCTACTTACCTAGTTACCTCAGAAAAGATGTGCCTACTCTATCCACTTACCCTTTCCACCACTGCTAAAACTGGTGAAGCTCAGGTGCCCACAAATGCTTTCTCAGCTCTACTATTCATCTTGCCTACCAGTGGTGGGAAGCTTTACAGAAAAAGCCTTATCTGTGTGACAATGTCTTGAAAACCTATTCTCATAAACACTGAATGTAGATTATGCTTTTTATGTAATGGGTCTGCTTTTTATCACTGAATATGCTGCCAGAAATGCCACGGTTAGCATAAACTCAGTCCCTAGGTGTTTTGGCATCTTATACAAATTTTTAACTTTTTTCATTTAAACACTTTTTTTTTTTTTTTTTTAAAATCTAGCCCCTTTAGTTTGAAGATAGTTTTTCAGATGTAAACCAGTAGAGTTCTGTTTACCTGAATCTATGGACAACAGGAGTGAAAACTTAAGTGTTGTACCCATCTCATTGGGTTGTCAGTGTAAATCTAACTTAAATATCATGTTAACTGAATTATGGGTGAATTTATTACTATCACTGTGGTTGAGTTAAGTGGCAGAGACATACCTTTGGAGTAAGCAAAGAGTCTTTAAAGCATTTGGATATTAATGTATTTGTAAGATATTCAAGGGGTTTTAGTGCTTAACAGAATTTTAGCAAGGTCGTGAAGAACACTAAAATGATCTGGAGAAGCTAAACTTTGGGGAAATGGGGAAACTTTCTTTTTAATACAAGTCTGGGTAAAAATGTTGACTTAAAAATGAAGGAACTGTATTGAGGTTTCTGTGTTAATTTGCACAAAATTTCAGACTTTTCACGGGTTGCTTTTTTAAAATGTGGGCAGATGCATACATTGTGTATTTGCCCTCGTTTGCAAGTTGTCCCTTAGGTACGATCCAATAAATGTCAGAATCCCTGAACATAATCCCACTGTGCTGAATTCTCTTGAATATCTGGTCACCTCAATCTGACATTAGTTTGTGTTCAGACTCCTAAAACAAATGAGTTATTAATTTACCACTTGACTGTTTCTTTTAATGTCTTACACAGGATGATGACGCTGAAGCAATCCTTGCTGCAGATTTTGAAATTGGCCACTTTTTACGTGAGCGTATAGTCCCACGATCAGTATTGTACTTTACAGGGGAAGCTATTGAAGATGATGATGATGATGTAAGTCTGTTTTAAACTGGTTCAGTATGCTCAAACAATACTGTTAATATTTAAGATTCCTAATGTATAATTTCTGTAGTTTTAGTCGTGTTTGTGGGATTTTGTGCATGAATCTACTCTGTCTAGGTACTTCCAGCTCTGTTCAGAGTAGGGCCCCCACACACACATCATGTTACAAAAGCCTTGGAGGGCCACTCTGTCTACACTACAAGTACTATACCAGCATAACTGTAGTTGCTCTCCTGTAGCATTTGCGGTGTAGACACTTGCTACAGCAACAGAAGGGGTTTCTCAGTCACTGAAGTAAATAATCTTTCTGAGAAGCAGTGGCTAGGTTAACAGAATTCGTCTGTCAGCCTAATTGCATCTACACTAGGGGTAAGTTTTGACTGAACTGTTTTGCACAGGGTGTGTAAGGCCTTAAAGGTATAGAGGGATATGACCTTGACTCTGTGCCATCAGGGCATGACCCTTTACACAATGGCATGAGCTCACCTAAGCTGGATGTAGGATCAGAAAATATCGACTACAGCATATGGCCCTGGTGTGCTGGAATATGGCCCATTTTGTTTTTATGTATTCTGTTCCAGCACAGGGCCATGTAGTGTGTGTGTGTGTGAGAGTGAACTGGATATTTTTGGATTCTGTCCTTGCTGTAGAGCTTCTATATGATGCAAAACAAATTATTTAAACCAAATGCTTCATGTGTGGTCACTAATTGTGTGTACTTCCCTTTCTGGGTGCCCAATATGGTATTGTAGGGTCTGATCTGAAGAAGAGTTGAGCGCTTCCAGCTGAAGCTGAAGTCAGTGGGAACTGTTTTGTACATATAAAATGCTGTATAATTCTAAGTACTCTGAAAAATCAGGTCCTAGATCACTCAAATTGGGCACCCAAAATTAGGATGAATTTGTAACCTTAATCTCTGTGCCTTGGCTTCCAATCCATAAAATGGGGGGGGGGGGGGGGATAAATAATACTACATCTCAGAGGTGTTATGAAAATAAATTCACATTTGTGAAGCACTTGAATACTATAGTGATAAGCACTGTAGAAAAGCCCATGAGGAAACTATTTATTTTTTGTCTTCAAAGCAGGGTTTAAATAGTGTAAATGAGGGGCCCACACTGAACAATGAAGAGAACCAAATTTTGAAATGCTGCCCATTAAGTGAGCATCATTCATTGTATTCACAGAGTGAGGCAAAGGTCCTAAAAGTGTATGATTGCATATAAGAGTGTCAGATTAAGGTTGCACAAGGAACCTTAATTCTTTCATTTCCTAACCTAAATTCTTGGTTTTGCAATCTTAATGTTCTCTTAACAAGTTTTTTTAGTGCAGAGCTTCCTAACCTTTTTAAAGCAAACTGGAAAAAAGTAAATTCCATCATACTAAGACATGGATCATCAGTAGTGTTGGAACCTTTAGATCCACTGCTACGTGTGCTAAGGAAGTGAATTGATAGCAGCAGTAGGTTGTCATCCTCTGTATAGACCAGGGGTCGGCAGCCTTTCAGAAGTGGTGTGCCGAGTCTTCATTTATTCACTCTAATTTAAGGTTTTGCGTGCCAGAAATACATTTTAAAGTTCTTTAGAGGGTCTTTCTCTAGAAGTCTATATCTTTTATATAACTAAACTATTGCCATATGTAAAATAAACAAGGTTTTCAAAATGTTTAAGAAGCTTCATTTAAAATTAAATTAAAATGCTGATCTTACGCCGCGGCCCCGCTCAGCCCGCTGCCAACCTGGGGTTTCGTTCATCTAGGCCGGCAGCGGGCTGAGCGGGGCCGGCGGCCAGGACCCCAGACCATCAGTGGGCTGAGCAGCTCTGCCCGCTGCTGCTTTGGGTTCCAGCTGCCGGCCCCACTCAGCCCGCTGCCGGTCTGGGATCCCGGCCTGCCCACATAGAGTGGGTACCTACCTTCTCCCTAGTTCTAGTGCGTGCACTCTCTCTCTCTCTCTCCACTGAGCTGAGGGTGGGAGTGCATTGAGCACAGGGCTGGGGGTGAAGGCGCAGGCTGGGGGATGGGATGTAGGGTCTGGCCAGGAGCGAGAATGGGGCGGGGGAGGCATGGTCAGGGTTGGGGCTGGAGGTTTCAGGGTGGAGTGCTTACCTGGGCAGCTCCCATTTTGTGTGAGGGATGCAGGTGGGAATGTTTGGGGGGGGGGTGGTGCAGGAGCTCCCATTTTGCGCTCAGGGTGGGAATGTGGGGGGTGCAAGACTCAGGGCATGGAGCGTGGGGGGGCTGGGTATGTATGGGGGTGCTGGAGTCAGAGCTAGGGCTGTGTGGGGGGTGGAGGAGTCAGGACAGGGGGCTGGGTGTGTTTGAGGGGTGTGCAGGGGTCAGGGCAGAGGGCTGAGGGTGTGGGCTAGGGTTGTGGGGGTGCTCCCAGCCCCTGCCCAGAGCAGCTTACGGCAGGGGGCTGGAGGGGATATGCCCTGATTCCAAACCTCTTCCCCAAGGTCCCGCCCCCACCTCTTCTCCCCCTCCTCCCGAGGCTCCGCTTCTCCCCTCCTTGCAAGGGCCATCAGCTGACAGCAGGGAGGGAGAAGAGGAGGGGCAGGAACCTAGCATGCTGGGGGAAGAGGTGAGGGAGGGGGGAGCTTGCCTGCCCTGCAGCAGCAGCCGCCAGGACCAAGCTTCTTCACCCTCCCCCGACGCTGCTTCCTGCTGCAGTCCCGGCTGGTGGCCCCGCTCAGCCCACTGCTGGCCTGGGTTCGGCAGCGGGCTGAGTGAGGCCAGTGGCTAGGACCCGGCAGGCAGCAGCGTGCCATTTAAAAATCAGCTCGCATGCCGTCTTTGGCACACATGCCATAGTTTGTCGACCCCTGGTATAGAACATCACTTGGATAAGGATGAGACGCACTTTGACATTGGGGTTCACAGATATTTGGTGACACTGGAAGAATGGTGACCTTCAACCTTGGGTTTCTTTCCTGACTCTGGAAGGGGATTGTGCTCTACTGGGCTCAAATTCTTCTACCTGTACCCTATCCACCCACTGCTTCATCTCTTTTGCCCAGTCCACCCTGTAAGCTGACTCTCCCCTTTCCCCCGACCCTATCCCTGCCTGCCTCCTTGGTGTTCCAGTTCTCCCTCCACAAACCCTAGTCCCTTGTCCAAACTGTATTCCCCATACTCTGGCTTGCAATCCCTATCTCACCAGATTGTCTCTATCTTTTCTCTCCTACCTTCGGTCCAACTTCTGTTGCCCTCTGCAGTCAAATTAGACTATTTCCTGAGAGGGGGAGACACACACCCACCCACTCCAGCACTTCCAGGTGGCCTCACCCTCCTCTCCTACACACACAAAAATCCAAGTGTGGAGCAGCACTTCCAGGGAAAGTTTGGCCTCGCTCCTGTAGCCCTGATCTGGGACTTGCTCTTCGGAATGGCACATGTGCCGTCTGGTCAGCACTAGAAACTATGAAGATTGAGCTATGATCAGTGAAGACAATCTTTGGAAATTCTACTTGTTAAACTCTAGCAAGTCTCTACTGAGTGTTTGCAAGCTTCAATTTTTCACACTTGCTACTTGGTCAAATTTGGATGTATTTTCATGGAGACACCAAAAGGTGCATCCCTGGAACACCCCTACCAAATTTCAAATCCCTGCTCCAAAGCTTTGAGAGCTATTCAAAGAAAAGGTCACTAATTTATTAACATGGACAAAACTGTATCTCCATCTAGCTGTATTCAGTAAAAAAATTTATCCTGAGGCTGACACTTTGCATGGAAAATTTCAACCCAGACGGTTGTTTTTTGCAAAGTTATAAGCAGCTGAAAATGCGGTTTTGTTAGGGGAAGTGTCAGACATTTGTAGTAGGTATGGCTTTCAACCCTGCCTTTAAAATATATGCATGCAAAATGAATGTTAACACTTAACTATGAGTAGGTTTTATCCTTAAACTAGAAAACACCTTTCTTTGTCAAAGCTTATTTTAAATTTTCTGCTCAATGAAACGTCTTCAGTATTAATGATATTGATCACTGTCACCCAGATCTAGAATTTTTTTTGACAAAGCTGAATTAATGTAAATTTACCTCTCTGAAAAAAAAAGTGTATATATAATATATATACACTTAATTTTAACATGAGAATTCTTTGGCTTCCATGTAACTTACACAAAACTGCTTAACATCTAGGGTGATGGCGTTTACAACATTGTATAATTTTTTTTTTCTCTTAGTATGATGAAGAAGGTGAGGAGGCAGATGATGAGGTGAGTTACAAGATGGGTTAGATGAGTAAAATGACACACACATACTTCATTTTGGAGCAAGTTTTTCATCTTTGATGGAATGGTAGCTGAGCAGTTGGCAAGTTACTTAAGTTTCTTGTTTAGTTAACTATAAATGACAAACATTCTTTAGTATTTCTCCAATCTGTATAAAACATTATTGGTTGAGATGTTCTATAAATGTAAGCCTGAAATGGTGATAAAAGTAAATATTCCAGATATTAGTCTGCCTTAGATTTGTACTAGTAGCACAAGTATATTTAAGAGCAGAGCTTTATCCTAAATGCAATGTAGAAATTTACTCTTAAAAGCGGAGTATGGCTAAACACCAAGATCTCATTCAAGTTCTTTTCTTTTCTGCACTGATGAAAACTTATGGAAAAAAAAAATTACAAACATCAGAGGAACATTTAACCTGTTGACTGCATTCTGTGTATTTAATCTGAACCAAGAGTACTTTCTACTTGACACTTTCTATCTTTCAGGAAGGGGAGGAAGAAGCAGATGAAGAAAATGATCCAGATTATGACCCGAAGGTGACTAGTACCAATGAATGTATTTCATTAAAATTACGCAATTAATTTAAGGCAACACTTTTTAATGGGCAATATACAATTAATAATTCCTGTAACAAACATGCTTTGACTCAACTGCTCTCTGAGATGGTTTTAATACCCCACTTTTTACCTTCTAAGATTTGCTGAGCAACATAGTCACTCTAATTTTGTTTTTCAGTAACACTTTTAAATATGTGGCCAGGGATCTTTTTTTAAAGAAATTAGAAGTATTATTACAAAATGAGTTGTTTGTTAAAAAATATACCTAAGCAACCTTTTATCAGCAAGTAAAAGCTTTGTTATTCATAAAGAAAATACAAGTTAAATGATCTTAAATGAGGGCTGTTAAAATCTTTGATGTAGTTGGGCAAGTTTGTCACTGATGTATGTATTTTTGCTATTAACTGTGACATAAAGTGTAGCCTGCATTTTGCTGCACTATCAAGGAGAAACATATCCTTTCACTTGGGTGAAATTTCTTGAGTGGGGCTGAAGCTGTATTTTAAGACTTAAGAGTAAGGAGAGGATTTGGGCTGTCTTCCCTGGAGATAATCATCCTCCTGTACTGAGCAGAACCTACAACAATGCTCTAAAGAAAACGTAGGTGTAGCTGATGTGCACCCCTTTGTGGTCGGGAATATATTGCTGGGCTAAGAGCCCATCTCATTCCAGTCGTTCCCCATTTTTGGGAAGAGGATGTACAGGGGAAAATACAGATGTTTACTACGTAGAGAGCAGAGACTTCAGGATGACTTAAAAGGAGGGCAATATGGATGTGCAGCAGAGATTGTTAATCCTCTGTTTTGCATACTCCCAAATTTATGCAAATTCTCATAGCTTAGTTTGGGATTACCAGACATCTGAAAATTCATCCTCTACATTAGTCTCTTTATTCTAGATGAGCCATTGGGATTTTTGAAACCTAGTTGTCATAGTAGGTAGCATTTATCCAGCTACTTCTGGGGCCACAAGCACTGATCGGGAAGCCAAGCCAGGTCATTAGGAATTGTGAGTGGGAACCAAACCAAACTGAAATATACATGACATTGGAAACACCACTGTTACTCAGGTGACACTAGGTAGTTGGTTATATCAGTTACATGATGCCTGCTGGGGCTAGTTGTAGAAGAAATCTTGCAGGAAAGGGGACTACTCATCAGATAAAAGGCAACTATCATTTTGGGGAGAATGTATTATAATTTGTTATAAAAAATGCTAGATTATAATGGGAAATGTCCATTATAATAGCACTGGTCCAAAAATTGTAGGCACCCACAATATGGTAAGATCTAATCTGATCTGCAAAAGCTATGTGATGGAGATGGGCAGGTACTAGGGATGCTCTTGTTGCAGATACACAGAAGCAGAAAAATTCTATAGATAATTTTTCTCTGCCTTTCCCTCCCTGTCTGCTAGAAATCTCTTAACAATGTGCAGAGAGTTATCAGCCAACTTGGCAAGTTGAGTTGTTAAAGTGTCAGCCCACATTGTAGAGGAATTTACAGAGCGTGCTGGCTGCGGTGGGCGTACGTGAAGGAGGGCTTTCCAGAACACACTGAAAGATCAGCAGGCTATATGGATACATCAAAATTGCTTCTCAGCAGTGTTGGCAGGACTTAGACCAAACCAATAATGGTACATCAAGCAAGGTCAAACAAAACTGTTTAGCATTTGCCGTGTTGTATCCAACCAGCTGTATTCCACTGTACCCTTCACTGCCCATGACCCAAAAAATTAGTTGTTATGGAGAGCAAAGTAATGCACGTAGTGCCCTTCCTGCTGAACTGCTTTAACCTACCCTGACAGAAATATCAACAAATTGATTATTTGCAAGCTGAGACACGTAGGGCTTATGCACCTGCTGTGGGATATGCTAATTGTCTAACTCTTTGGCCTTGTAGGCTGGTCAGATATTGGCTGTTACTAGGTTGCAATATTTCAAATTCTGTTTGAGGCAACTGAGGGATGCAGCCGTTTTGTTGCTTAGCCCAGCACAGGGCACAATGGAGGGAGTAGTGTTCAAATGGATACGCAAGTCCCCTTGCATACAGTCCTGTGCAGGTCCAGCCTCAGTATCCTTATCTGTATATGTAAGTGATCTGTTATCACATGTTTGTGCAGACCACACTTGACTGAATCTTCTCCCTCTTATGCTACCTACTGAGCATGGCAAGATGGCAGTTGCTATTGCTGCAGCACCAAGAAATGGAACAGAAACAGGGCAAGGGTCTGGACTTATGATTTAGGACCACAGGGATGACTAACAAGTGGTGGGGGAATGAGGGGAGAAAGATGTCATCAAAGCAGTAACACTCTTAGGCAGTGGGACTGAGCACCTCTGTTCCCCAGAAATAGCTGCTTTAGAGCCAGATTCTTTTAAAAAAAAAGGTGCTGTGGGACGATAAGGTGGGAAGCTAGTAGGCGTAGGCCCTTAAAAATGGGAGCGGGGAGCGAGACCTGTACTAAGCAAAACAGAAGGTTGTACATGGCCTGGCAGTGGGAATCAAGTCGATAAGATGAAGAGCAAGTACATGTTAAAACACACCTACAGGCCATTCCCATGTGCACTACCATGGGAATTGTTCAGCTGCACACAGTGAGAAGCCAGGAAACAATTATTTACTCCCATGCACCTGGAGTGTCACTAAGGGTTTTTTGCTTCTGCTTCACTTCAAAATGCACAACAGTCACAATGTATGCTTTACCACTTCCCACTGAGCAATCTTACAATCCTGCATGTCATCATTCACCAACTCTTCTGCATGTCGATGTAGCACTAAATGTTGTCGTCAAAGCCAATTGCTGAGTTGACTAAATGTTCATCTCAGATTTGCTTATGTCATGGTTTCACAGATCCATCTGTGTACTCATGTTTGGCTGTCTGAGCAGCGTGGGGCTAATATAAACTTGCAAGAAGATGCTCTAAGCATTTACTTCCGTTTTATGTTTAAGTAGATGGAGTCTCCAGCATCTGTTCTAAACGTTGTCAAGTAGCTGGTAGACAGACAATGCAGCAACTTACAATCTCCACTAGTTCAGTGGTTTTCAGTCTGTGGACCTCTGGGGATCCACAGACTGTCTAAGGGGACTGCGAAAATAAAATTTCAGATGCCAGAAAAGGTATACTTTTGATTGACCAGAAAAACAGAATGTGAATACCCCACTTTACAGGTCAAAACCCAGAAGTGTTGTCATTACCATAAAAGCCCACAGTTCAGGGCCCTTTCTCACGCTGCGTCCAGTGCAATGCCAGAAATGTGCAGCATTTATAGTTGAATTCTGTTCAGTTTTCAGTCTAAGACTTCAGGGTCTGCGGACCACAGGGTGAATTTCCAAAAGCGTTCACAAATGAAAAAAGGTTGCAAACTTATGCCCTAGATACTGTACTTAGTATATCCATGTAAATTTACTGGGATGGGTATGAAACCACCCTCTGTTAGTTCTTCCATCACCACAGTTGACTGAGACTGGTCCTTGGTTGAGACTGTTACTATAATGAAAGTACAGTCAGTGTTAGGAAGGCTGATTCTCAGTGTGCCATATAATCCAATATACATTTTGCTACTCGCCCTACCATATTGTTTGTAATTTTCTTTAGTAATTCTCACTTCCCACTCGCAAATTAGCTATCAGCCTGTGTTTGATGTGTAGGGGCCAGGTTCTGCTGGCTCATTCAGGTATGCCATCACAATCTAGTTCCATCACCCCTCAGGTGGCTCATTAAATCACTTACATACGAAGGGTATTCAACATGTCATCTCAGCGACCACTATCCATTTTCAGGATTTTATGCTTTTGTTAATTATGCAGGTCAGGAGCCAGCTTTCAAAGTGTGACTTGTCTCCTGAGGGATGACATTAGAGCAAGTAAGCTCTCCACTACTGGTATTAATGTGAATTTTTGCCCTTTTTATGAGGAAGATTTGGCTTCCCTGTTAGCCCAGATGACACAAATAATGGGTCTACTGTTCAACAGTGCAGACAGAAATTAGTTTGCATATACTAATGTCATGACAGGTGCTGAGAAATATAGCTATAGAAGCCATAAACGCCATGGAATAGATGTTATTTCTGTAGGCTTTATACCTTGGGAGCCTTGATGGGGACTTAAGTGTTACCCTCACCAGTTTACTGCTCACATCATGTCATTATACAGATACATGATGACATGTGCAGTGAGCCTGTATGTTTGAGCTGTCTGTGCTCATGGGGTCAAGGAAAGTCCTCCTTGGCTAAGACTCTTGGAGTATATGGGCATCTCTTCCATTTCGGTGCCAGGCCAGTTTTGTTCCCATTTTCTTTCCCTCAATTTTTTTTCAGGATATACCACCCTACTGTAGTCAGAAGTTCTGTGTTGCTGCCAATGGCTAGTGCAGCCCCCACCCAAAGGAAAAACTGAGGCATCCTCTTGAATTTGGCTATTCAAAGATATCCTTAACTTGCCTAGTGCACAGAGATTTGAATACAATGTGGTATAGTATTCACAGGGTGGATAAGGGAGAGAAGATGCAAGATTCTTAATAGCTAAACTTGATTCTTAAGAGCTGTAATTGAAACTAGAAAACACTTGCTTGACAGCTTTGATAAGTGGCTTAGAAAAATAACTTGATGTGACATCTGTACACTGACCTTTCTTTTATTCCTCAACAGAAGGATCAAAACCCAGCAGAATGCAAGCAGCAGTGAAGCAGTGTGTATGTGGCCTTGAGGATTACCTGCACTGTAATAGCCTAAACACAACTATTAGTTACTTACAGCCTTATGTTTTGTATCTTCTTGGTAGAATTAAGTAAACAATTTGTTAAAATGAAATCAAACACCTAAGTACCAGTTTAAAATGTAGGTTCATTCTACCTAGCATTTTAATAGTATAACTTTCTGCCAATATGTAGAATGCAGTAAATCCCCTAAAGCATGAATGTTAATTCATTGCTACATAGTTTGGTTCTTGTGAAGTCTTTCGTCATGTAGCTATTAGACTGCAGCTGTGAAGATTATCAGAACTGTTAACTGAGACCAATATTTGTTTAGAGAAAATCCTCTCCTGAAGAACCAACCAAAGTCTTTTCAGCCCAGTAGTTTGAATGGGTTTGTCTGCTTGCACTAGCTGTGCCTTCCATTACCTTGTTAGAGAAATGGCAGTGACTTGTACTAACTAGGAGATGATGCATTTTTGGATTTGACTACTTCAGAAGATTAGTATAATTCATTTAACTTCCAACAAGACCACATTAAATGTTCATAACTGTCTGCTTGTTTCTGCTATGGGTTTTGTATTTTATGTGACAGCGATCTACAAAAGAAACCTAGTAATCATATTAAGGTTATTGTTTACCACTGGGGTGTGAATAAAACCTAGTATTTTCAGAAGTTAGTCTTGTTTTATTATGCTATGTAAACTGTTGACATATTACATGCTGCAGTTGATTTTTTATTTTTTTATTTATTTTTTTTACTAGACAGTCATTTTTGAGAACTTTTTATAAGCAAACTGTTTAACACTCAGCAACATAAAACATCAACTCAACTGCACTATTCTCCTTCCTGGACAGTTTTATCTAGGCTTTTCATAGTCAATATAATGGGGATAATAAGGTCATGTTGCCACTTGTGAATTTGAGCTACATATTTCTTTTCCCAAATGACATGTTGACTAGTCAAACTCAATTTCTGCTGCAGTTCTGTATTTATAGGCAAGTCTGGAACCATGGAATAAAGATGTACAAAACTCTTTTCATAATGCCTTAGTGAATTTCAGAGGTCACCACTTGATCAAATGAACTCTGGCTTATATTTTAAATTGCTGTATAGACTTAAAAATATATAGATTCCCCTAAATACCACCTGGATAGAGGAAATAGTAACCCTTTTAATGAGTCAGTATAGACAGTTCTCCAAAGTGGGAAACCATCACTACTGGGCTCAGGGAAACAAGCACTGAGTGGTGGGATTACATCATGATTCAGATATGGGATGACAAGCAGTGGCTATGGAACTTTTGGATGTGCAAAGCCACCTTCCTGGAACAGTGTGCAGACCTTGCCCCTACCCTGCAGTGCAAGGACACCAAAATGAGAGCTCCCTTCACACTGGAAAAGTGGTGATCACTGTGTGGAAGTTGGCAACTCCAGACTATCGATCAGTCACAAATCAGTTTGGCACTCACAAGTGCGTGTATGTCCAGCTGTCATTATGAAACATGTCCCTAGGGATGGAGTGCAAGGGTTAGTGTGACAGGCCAGGAACGTGCAAGGAATGTGTGGGAAGAGTTTGGTGATGGCATGAAAGGCAGTTCTGTATGGGCTGCAGGGGAAGGTAAGCACCGATTTGTTCCACCTGCAGTGCAGTCAGGGACCTCAGCATCTCTGGTCCTCCATTAGCTTTATCATCTGCTCCTGCCCCTATATTGTCTGCTCCCACTCCTGTCTCCTCTCCTGGTTATCCATTCTGAGTTGTTTTTTTTGTTGTTGTTGTTGTCTCTGTCTGTCTCTGCTTGTTAGCAGGAGCAGCAGATTGCAGCTCTTCCCTAAACGTTTCCTCCTTATGCCTCCTGGTTCATCTCCTTATCTGACAGAGCTGCTCTGCTGTTGTGTAGGAGGTGACCCTCAGGGGACATCTGCAGAAGCTAAAGAAACAAATAGCGAGAGCCCTGAGCATGGTGTGTTTGGCCCAGAGGGTAGGGGGAAGATGGTACGAAGAGTTCAGTGGCTTCCGAAGGGGATAACTACAAGCACCTAGGGACGCTATTCTGAATACTGGCACAGTTTTCCACAAGTGAGGGTGATCAAAGCTGATCTCTCACTCCTGAGGGTAACCAAGGATGCAAGAGTGCGTCTCCTGCATGTATACAGCTTCAGACTGGGTCTGTGTGCTGCTCTGGTGCCTGTAGATGTAAATGCCAATTGGTGTGGCAAAGTTTCCACAGCGGGGGGTGGGGAATAAGGCAGCTTTACCAAGGGACCTTCAGCAGAGGATTGCAAAGTACTTCCAGGAAAGTTATGTAGAGATCTCTATGGAGGATTCCTGGGACATCCCAGTGTGCCTAACGTTTTCTGCCAGGGTTCCCACTGTAGTTACATAGGGGAATGAAAAGCAAATGTGAATAGTGCTAGTGTTAATTTTTATCCCTTATCCCTCTTCTACCCTCTTTTTAAAAAAGAGCTCTACCTCATGTGATGTTGTGCAGTATCAAAGTAAAATGAGTGCTTACCAGAACTCCCCTCTCCTGCATCAGGCATGCCAGAGCTGGATGCTGGGACTGGCTAGACCCCTCCGGAGTCAAAAAGAGGTCCTAGCTTGTCACACTACTGGATGATCCTGTTGTATATCCCAAATGCTCCTCGAACTCCGCCTCCTCGTCCATCACTTCGTCTGCAGGGTTCACGCTGCTGGCTGGAGCCTCTAGCGCCCCCCCGCCTGCTGGAGTCGCTGCCGAGAATAGTGTGCAGCTCTTTATAGGAACAGCACAACTTTGGCAATGCCCCAGAGTGACAATTAGCTTCCCTTGCTTTCTGTTATGCCTGCTTCAGCTCTTTGATCTTAGCATAACACTGCTGTGTGTCCCTTTGTGCCCCTCCTCAGCAATCTGCCCACGTACATATCAAAGTCCTTATGGCTGGAGCTGAGCTATGATTGCACGGCCTCCTCTCCCCACAGACTCAGCAGATCCAACAAACTCTGATGTACTCCAGCTAGGAGCACGTTTGCTGCGGGGAGCTGGCATTATCAGTTGGGAATATGCTATGTGAACTCTCCATGCCAAGCAAACAGGCAGAGGAATTTCAAAAATTCTCAGGGCTTTAAAGGGGGAGGAGTGCATGCCGGTGTACCTGGCTGCAGGGCAGCAGAGTTCAACGGGTGACCAGAGTGGTCACAATGAGCCTTCTGAGACCCTTCCTTGAGGCCACTTAGGGCAACATAAGCGAGCACAGTGTGTATGCTGACACTGTGTCTCTCGAACTTCATCTCCAAAAGCTGTGTGCCTCTCGTTGAGGTGGTTTTATTCTATTGGCATAGCAGGAGAGTTAAATCGGCTAGAGGAGTATTGCAGTGTGCACACCTCCACTGTTCTGTCAACAAAAGTTGCCTTTTGTCAACAAAATTGTGTAGCGTAGACATGGCATTCGACTATGTACACATTACAGCTTAAGTGGTAGAAATTCTATTCCTCAAGAATGTGAATAATAAGCCACCTCCCTGAGCTGCCTAAGTGCCAGTGTGGACGGCGTTGTGTTGGCGGGAGAGCTTCTCCCACTGACATAGGTACTGCTGCTCGCGGAGGCTAGAGTAATTTTAGTTTACGGGAGAGCTCTCTCCTGTTGGCTTAGAGCACCTCACTGGCAGCGCTACAGCTGCGCCTTTGTAAGCACTGTAGTATAGCTATGACCTAAGGCTGCTTCTAGGAGAATGGATTCCTTCCAAGTCAGGTGAGTCTTCTCATGCAGGTCCCAAGAACCATGCCATCCCCAGTATAGACATCAGTGCTGATCATGACCTAGCAAGCAAAAGGACCCTGCACTTATCCTTATTGAACCTCATCAGATTTCTTTTGGCCCAATCCTCCAATTTGTCTAGGTCCCTCTGTATCCTATCCCTCCCCTCCAGCGTATCTACCACTCCTCCCAGTCTTTGAACGAGAAGCTATAGAGCAAGTGGTACCTCAGTATCAAGGGAAAGGGTTCTACTCCCAATTTTTATAGTTCCCAAGGAAAGGAGAGGACAGAAGCCTGTCCTCAACCTATGTCAACTAAATATTTTTAATTGCAAATTAAAATTGCACATGGTTACATTGGCATCAATAATTCCCTCCTTGGAAAAGGACCCATGGTTCACAGCTCTCAACATGAAAGATGCTTACTTTCATGTGAATATCCACATGAGAGGTTCCTCAGGTTTCTGGTAAGACCGAAATACAACCAGTTCAGGGTACTCCTCTTCGGTCTGGCAACAGCTTCCCGGGTCTTCACAAAGATTTTTCAGGGGTGGTGGCACAGATGAGATGAAACAGCTACATTGTCTTTAGAGGACTGGCTTCTAACGAGCAGATCCCATCTGGAAGTTCAGTCGGAAACCTTGTCTTTACTCTACCTCATGGTATCCTTGGGAAGCTGCATAAACATAGAAAGTCTACTCTGACTCTTCTGCAGCTTATAGACTTTTTAGGGGCAACCCTGGACTTGGCCACAGCCAGCGCCTACCTTCCTGCACACAGATTGAATGCCATGAGCAGTTTGATAAACTAAGTCACTTTCACACCCTGAACAACAATCCAGGTCTCTTTTTGCCAGGTCACATTGCCTCCTGTACTTATGTAGTGTGCCCACTAGGCTCCATCATCATGGTCTGGAGGCCTGGCTCTGGTCAATATAGATGCCAGACAGACAAAGCATGAACAGTGTAGTGACAATTGCCGTCAATGTCAGGGCATCATTCATCTGGTGGACAAACCCAAAACATGTGTAGTGGAGTATTTTTCTTACCTCCCAGACCTGACATCACATGACAATAATCATGGACACATTCCTTATAGTTGGGGAACCCCCGAAGGTGGTCACACAACACAAGGTACGCAGATGCATATTATTCTCTTAAAACTAAGAGCAGTCAGACATGCATGCAATGTATTCCTCCAACCCCTATGATCCCGACATGTCTGGATAATGTTAGACAACATGATGACCATCTTCTATATAAACTAACAGGGGCAAAATCCCTCCCATTGTGCATAGAGGCAGTCAAATTATGTAATTAGTATATCCGCATCACAATTTCTGCAGTATACCTTCCAGGGGCTCAGAATGCGCTGGCAGACAGCCTTGGCAGACATTTTGCCACCAATCATGAGTGGAAATTACACAATTCAGTGCTGAACAACGTCTTAGAGGGAAACACCATCTCAGAACCAGTTTGCCCCTCAACTGAACAAGAAGTTCAACATATGGTGTTCCAGAGCAGCACAATATCAAGATGCCAAGGGTGATGCCCTCCTGTTGTCCTGGATGGGCCACCTGAAGTACACCTTCCCTCCCATCCCACTTCTACCCCAGTTTTTATGGAAGATTTGTTATGACCAAGCATGATCATTCCATTGTACCCAATTGGCCCAGACATTGTCCCCTACTGTGGATTTTCTAACTCAAAAGTGATTTCCTACTTAGCAGTGACAGTCCAATGTTCCAAGCTTCCAGAGTGTGAATGCCACTTGCTTCTCTGCTGTCAATGCAGCTCTTATTCTGGTGTCTTTGATTATGGTTTGTGGCCTGGACAATAAATACAGGAAATCTTACTTCTCCTCAGTCCACAGTGGATCCCTGACTGATATCAATGGGAGTTTTGTACGAAGATCAAGAAACCAGAATTCAAGTAGTAACTTTTATTTATTATTTATTTAGTACCTTGTCATGCTGTGTGAGAAAAGCTGAGCCCTGTTATGCCACTGCTACTTCTGCCCTTGTTTCTCTTCCTTTCCCATCTTTCTTTGACTGTTTCTCTCCCTCTTCTCTTTTTTCCCCTCTCCCAACAACTCCCTGTGCCCACCTCTTGAAGACTTCACTCTCAATGTCTTTTCCATTACATCTGCTTAATTGATCAGTAGTGGAATAGTTAAAGTTGATATTGAAAAGGTTATTACTGACTGTTATGGTTCACGCCCCAGTGCAGTTTATGGTGGACATGGGAGTTCTCACATCTGACTCTTGTGTTTCAGGCTGTCTGCAGATTCAGGCAAACATGACATCAGTTTGTACTCACTGTACAATTGGAGGGTTATGTCTGCAGCCAAAAGAGCTAGGGCATGTCTGCACTTATCTCCGGAGCAATCGATCCAGCACAGTTTGATTTATTGTGTCTAGTGAAGACGCAATAAATTGACCGCTGAGCGCTCTCCCGTCGACTCCGGCACTCCACCCGAGTAAGAGGCATAGGCGGAGTCGACGGGGGAGTGTCAGCAGTCGACCTACCGCAGTGAAAACACCACGGTAAGTAGCTCTAAGTACGTTGACTTCAGCGACGCTTTTTTCGTAGCTGAAGTTGTGTAGCTTAGACGGACTTAGCTCGCTCCCCCTCCTGCCCCGCCCCATAGACCAGGCCCTAGAAACTTACTTTTTTTTCTTTCCTTCTATGGAATCTCAGATTCTGACGGTGTCATGCAAGCTAAATCTATGATACCCCCAGACAGATATTTATGAACATTTGAAGAAATAAAGTCCCTCCAGTAAGAGCCTATCATGAAACTCAAAACTTGCTATCAATTAATAAATTCTACCACCATCCCCTTTCTACCACAGAAAGTACTGTAGTTAAGATCATCAAGCTTCATCAGAACAAATCTTGGGAGGAAACCAGTAGGGGAACGGGGAGCATTGCAGACAGTACCTTTGCTTTTTCTGTCCTCTTTTTGAGCCCATTCTCTGTAGTTCCCAAAACATTGCCAGATTTCCCTCAAGCTTCACACAATAAGTACATTCTACAGGTTTTCAGGCACATCAGTCTTTGGCTTTCAAAGTTAGGAGCCTTATAATATTGTATACACAGGTGCAATGTCTGTACAACTGCACTCTTCTATCAGAAACCTCTCTGGGCAAGGGAAGAATAGGGGAAAATACCAGAAGAATGAGAGGGCTATCATTTATATTTTCAAGGATCAGGTTCAGAATCCTTCCATCTCGCAATATTAAAGTTTGGCGCTAGGAGGCATCTGAACATCAGCTATAGCCAAAGAATTTAGCTAACAGGGCTGCTACTAGGAAACTTAGCAAACCTTGCATAGGATTTATTAGAACTACAGTAGAACAGGTAGAGCTTTGGATACATTTGTGAGACAGAGGCCCCTTGGCCCCTATTCCTTGCAAACAGCTCTCACTTCAGACCCTACAGACGTACTACACCAAACACATCTTACAGGATATTTGTCCCTAAAGAGTAACACCTATCTACAGAAAGCTTGTAACTTGTCAAGACTCCGAATCATTGTGAGATGTATGTATGGGCAATATTTAAGGAATAATGTATTTATATTGAAAACATGCTTTATGGACTGAAATAAAAATTAGCCACTAGAGTTCTGTGTCTCGGGGATGACCCATTCATTCAGGGGGAGTTGTCACCCCACTCTGTTTAGCTGGGGAGGTAATGCAAAACTCAGTTGTTTGGCCTTGCTCCCTCCCAAGCCTACCACTGGGAAACCATCAGATATAACTACAAACAATTGAAACCACTTGGAAGTGGAAAAGGAACATTACAACAGAAAGAGGTTTGCCCTGTCTGAATAGAAACAAGAGGCTGTTTTCAGTATAACGCACAGGGGGAGAAGCATTTTGGATCCATTCACTGAGGACATCCCCCAAGGGACATGGGGGCTTTCATGAACTGGATCCTGAGTCTTGTGAAACCAGCCAGCTCTACAACAGACTGAACTTTGCAGGGAAAACTTACTTCATATATTGATAAGTCTTCCAGGTTTGCAGTTTATGGTTTTTGTTGTGCTGTAACCTCTTGTTTCTATCACTTTTGTTTTTCTAGTTAAATTTTTATTCTCACTTGAACCAACTTTTGTTTTATTATAAGGGCTCACAAGTGCTGTGTGGTTTCCAAGAGTGATGGTTTAAGGTAAAACTTGTCAACTGGGGTACCCTGCACCTTGGGGTGTGAAGGATCTGGATTTTGTGTGAATAGCCAGTATCAGGGGCTGTAGATCATAGGGATACAATTCAAAGGGACCGGTGTGTACCTCTTGTTAACCTGCAAGGTGAAGTTAGGGCTGGAAGTTGCCAAGATGAGAGTGCTTGAGTGTCTGGAAGCTGTTATGCAGCCAGGGATAAGCAAGTCAGACTCCTTCATGCTGGAGGGTACTTATGCAGGAATGACAGACAATAGGGCAGAACTGTTGCGGCATCCAGTGTAGTTCAACATACTCCACCTTGTTCTTCTTGAACATTCATTCAAACAGCTGTAAAGGAGTTTTGTTTCATAAAGTAGTGTCTAATTCCAATTGCTCAGTCTAGGCACATGCATATTGTTCCACTTTGAAAGTAAATATTTGGATCGTCAGCTGTTCAGAATTTTGCGATTTTACTGTAGGTCCAAGTAATGTACAGCGGCTGTCTACACTAGAACTGCTACACCAACACTGCTCCAGGGTACTGTGGTGTAGGCTATGGCTATCCTGGCACTTTACAGCGCTGCAACTTTCGCTGTGCTCAGGGGTGTGAAAAAACACCCCCCCCCCCGAGTGCAGCAAGTTACAGCGCTGTAAAGCGCCAGTGTAAACAGTGCCCCAGCGCAGCGCTCTAAGCTAATCCCCTCCTGGAGGCGGAGTACCAGGAACGCTGGGAGCGCTCCCGGGGCTGCGGGCTTTGAAGCATCCAGCGTTGTCATGTCCCTTGATGCTTCCCCTGCTGATGGGATGTGGTTTTGCTGGTGCCGTAGTTAGTCCACCTGCCTGAGAAGTGGTAGCTAGGTCAACAGAAGAATTCTTCCATTGACCTAGCCATGTATATCTACACCAAGGATTAGGTCGACCTAACTGCAGTGCTCAGGGCATGGCATTTTTCACAGCCCGGGACAAGCCAGCAAGGTCAATCTAATTTTTAAGAGTAGACCAGCCCTTAGCCAATTTTTTATCTAGTTTGTTTCTTTCTCTCCTTTTCCACTTAGTCTGTGTCCAGACTGGAGTTTTTGGTCTTCTTGTAGTGTATGTTAGATTGCCAATTAATGTGTTCATTAACACTCTTGAAATGCTGCCGGCCATATTTCACATTTTTTTCTTATCAGGTTTCTAAGGTGAATTAGACCCAGCCCCAAAAGGTTTGTGTACTGGAACCTACTTTAATGATGTCCATTGGCATTAGTGAGTAGTGGGGCTTTGCAGGGGCCCTCACACTGTAAACGGGGGCGCTGGACCAATTTATATAGTGGGGACGCTGAGAGCCATTGAACCCAACTGTAAACCTTGTGTATGATGGAAACCACTTCAAGCCGCAGCCCTAGTTCCAGTATTTATGACTGTAAATGGTTTGAGACCTGCCTCTTAATAATAATAAATAATTACTAAAGCCACCTAGCTTTTCTAGAGAGCTTTTCAGCCTTAGATCTCGGTAGTTTGTGGCTCTGATGACGCTGCAGCTCTGATAACTGAAACCGTTTAGTAGGTAGCAAACTGTAAGCAGAAGAGAAACCCATCACCCCGACTGCAGGGGGCTGATGAAGGCGAAGTGTGAGCCGATTTCCCGGGGCGCTCGACCCACCCCAGGCCGAGCAAGCGCCAACGCGAGCAGGGTGACACCGAAGGGAGGCGCCCGCCAGGAAGCGCGCCGCGAGGCAGCCCCATATTTGGAAGGGAAGCCAGGGCAGCGGGGGCGTGAGAAAGGAACGCGGCGTTTGCCGGAGCTGGGCTTCCCCTCCGCCGGGTGTCACTCGGGGCTGGGCAAGGCGCGCGGAGCAGCCAGAGCGAGCGCCGCCCCCTCCGGCTCCGGCTCCGGCTCCGCCGCTCGCCGCCCTAGACGCCGCGGGAGGGTCAGGATCGTCCCGGCTTCGCCGGAGCCTGGCCGCTCGCCGCCATCCGCTTCGGGCGCGGGGAGGAAAGGGACCGGCTGCTGCCTGCCCCGCCGGGAGGAGGCTCGGCGGCCAGCAGGCGCGCGGCGCCCCATGCCGGGAGGATGCTGGAGAGCGGCTGCAAGGCGCTGAAGGAGGGCGTGCTGGAGAAGCGGAGCGACGGGCTGCTGCAGCTGTGGAAGAAGAAGCGCTGCATCCTGACCGAGGAAGGGCTGCTCCTCGTGCCCCCCAAGCAGCCGCAGCCGGGCCCCCCGGCCGCCGAGCCGCCGGCCGCCAAGATCAAGGAGCTGCACTTCTCCCACATGAAGACGGTGGACTGCGTGGAGCGGAAGGGCAAGTACGTGTATTTCACCGTGGTCATGGCCGAGGGGAAGGAGATCGACTTTCGGGGCCCGCAGGAGCAGGGCTGGAACGCCGAGATCACGCTGCGGCTGGTGCAGTACAAGAACCGCCAGGCCATCCTGGCCGTCAAGTCCACCCGCCAGAAGCAGCAGCACCTGGCCCAGCAGCACCCGGGCCACCGCCTCCGCAGCGCCTCCAACTCCGCGTAGGGCGCCCGAGGGACCGGCCGCGCCACAGCCCCGGTACCGCCCCGGGCGCCTAGGGATCCTGCCCCCGCAGCCCCAGAGCGCTGGGGAGCGTGGGATCTGCGGGCCGCCACAGCCGGCTGCCTGCCAAGCCGGGAACCCCCCGGTCCCTCCCTTGGCCGGAGCAGGTGGGCTCCCGAGCGCTCTCGGGGCACGGGGAGCCTTTACAGATCAAACCAGCGCCAGCGTACCGGCCGGGGACTCCGGCTGCCTGGGGGCGGGGGAAGAGGTTTCTCTGCTCCCAGCACCTTCCAGGAGTTTCAGAGGCAGCCGGGGAGCGCTGCCTTTTGTGCCGCGGGTGAACGGTTTCCGAGCCCTGGGCTGCCCTCGTAGGCCCCAGGAGCCCCGATGATCTTCCATCTCCTGCCCCTCCGTTTGTGCCTGGTTGGCCGTGGCAGGGCCGCGCACCCACCGTTTGGCATTCGGAGAGCTCGTTCCAGGCGCAGGCAGGTTGGCTATCTGTGCACACGCCCTTGGCCAGCTCATTCCGATGCCCTTCCTTCTGTGCTGTTGTATCGCAGGTTGAATCCAAGCGCCACTTCAGGACGTGAGACCGAGCAGCACCCTTCTGTTGTGAACACATTTCGGGGGCTCAAAACGCTTGGCAAACCAAGGAGAGCCGCGGAGCAGGGAGACTGGAGAGCGTCAGATCAACAACCTGAACACCCAGCGAGTTTTCTGCACAATCCCTCCCTTGGTGCAGGGAAAACATTTCAAGTCATATGGACTCTGACTACTGTTTATGAACCTTGGAAAGGATCATCTGGCATGGTGGGGCTTCTTGGACACATGATGTACTGTACATTTATTTTAAAGTATTGTATTTTATGGTTATTTATTAGGGATTTTGTAAAAGGCTTGTTTGCAAGACGTTTCTGAATGTAGGCCATTATCCAGAAATCAAATTCCAAATAAAAATTCAAAGCACACCTCAGCTCCTGGATATATTTTGCAACCTTTGGAGAGAGGGGGAGGTTGTGGGAGAAGAGAATGATTTATATAACCATGAATTTTAGGGGGTTTTTCACATGGAATACAATAGTTTTCATTTCATTTCATTTCAAAATATTATTTTAGAAACTGTTGTTATATTAAGGTGAAAAGTATAATGCATGGTTTAGAATTAGGATAAAGATCTTAATGCTTCTCTCCAAAGGTTGGAACCTGATGTTAAGGTTATTATTCTTTTTTAAACATAAATATGGGGGAAGAGTATTACATTTTATATGCAACTCAGTTATACAGAAAAACTAATCTGATTCATTATTATTAGATAAAATACCTTTGTTTCATTTATCACCTATAGCAGTTGAAGAGGGAACTCTGACCAATTTGATTTGTGATATGAGAACATGTCACATTAAAATTATATCAATTTTATGTGCTTGCTTATTTTGTGTTATGAAAATGGTTGTGAGAGCTGAGAACTATTTATTAAAACTTCTGTACATTTGAGTTCAGGGCTCTCTTGGTACAGAAGGTTTATGAAAGGGCCATGTTCCTGACCTTTTTCTGACAGGTTTTAAATGTCTTGCATTGAAAAACTCCACAGTTTAAAGCCCATCTTGTACATGTCTTCAAGTTTTTAAATGAGTCATTTCAGTCATAATTTTCCTAAACTGAAAAATGTTATATTGCTGAGATAAACAAGTTTATTTTAGTGTGTAATATTACCGGATGTCGAGAGATGTGTTGGGACCTTGTCTGCATTATGTTAATGAACCCCATGAAGTTAGAAAACAAAGCACTAGGCACATGTGTCTTCCTTCTCCTGTTGAAATCAATGAGAGTTTTGCTGTTGATTTCAGCATATGGGGTGACTAGGCCCTGATCCAGAAAAGCAAGTTATGCCCGTGTTTATGTGCTTTGCTGGATTGGGCCCTTAATGTGGTGGGTCATTCCCCATTTTGCACTGCTGTAGTTAAAGTTCTCTGCTTTGAAATAAATAGTAAGTTGTCCTTAAAAATCTGATAGTACGGTACGGCCTGTTATCGCTAAGTCAAGGTACAGAGCCTCAGCCATGGAACTATTTCTTTTTACCAACTCAGTAGGGAAACTGCTCTGCCCGTTTTTAAGCTATACAAACGTAAACAGACTTAAAGTAATATGTTTAGAGCTTTTGATTTGTAGCTTCACCTTAAAAAAATGACACCGTTCATATTGTTTTTAGTAACTGGATAAAACAAAACATGAAAATGACACAGTGAGATCTTAAACCAAGCACTGCATTTGAAGGGTACCTTTTAAATTACTTCCCATCTCAAACTGAGGTCCAGTCCTGCAAGGTGCTGAATTCATTCTGCTCCCCTTTATCTTACAGGTCATTTAGGGTACTGAGCCCCTTCCGGGGTGATGGAACATAATTTAGCCCTGATCCTGCAAACATGTAAGTAGCCCCATTAATGTCATTGGGACTATGCATGTGAATAAAGTTAAGCAAGTGTTAGCAAAATTAAGGCCCAGTCCTGCAAACCCTCATGTGAACAGTCCCATGGGGCTATTGGAGTTCAGGTCCTTTGTAGGGACATATATTGACTGGATTGGAATGGCAGGTTACAATGGCCCTAAGAAAGTCATTCCTTTGAGGCTAATTGAAACAGAGAATGTTCAGCACCTTGCAGGACTGGACCCCTCAGTCTGGGACACAGGGAGGAAGGAGGTGAAAAGATGCCCTGCAAGTGCAGCTGCAAGTTTTCACATCTCAGTTCATTTGCCATTCTCATTCTGCTAAATCTAGATGACTGTGCTGGAAGGGAGACTTACAAAATAGACTGTTATAGACTGTAGTGGCTCCTTCAAAACCATTGCCCTTGACTGTGTAAAACATCTACCTTTTAAAAAGTGCCGAAATATTGATTTGTGGAAAAATGTGATCTCTTTTTCAGAGCCATTAATTACAGTTTATCAGGTAGCTAACCCACCCTTTCAGATATACACCTATAGCACAGAAAATTCACCTATCAAAACATGCATTTAACCAGGTAAAGAATAAATGGAATTATTCAAAATGTGTCTCTGTGATGCAAGATAGGTATTTCCCTGGGAGATGCAGTCATTCCTATCCTACACAAACCTGATCCAAAGCCCACTGAAGTCAAGACTCCTTCTGATGCTAGATCATTTAATTAAATCATTTAATTTTATCATTTTCCCTCAAAGTGCTTGTGCTTTTAAAAACAAAAAAAGGACCTTTTTTTAAAGGTTTAAATAACATTAAGATTCTGTCTCAAACTGCTGAAAGGCAAGATTTTCAAAATCAAGTTTGATGGCATCATTAGCTCACACTTTGATACATCTGCCCTCCAGGTTGAAATCAAAGTGTCCTCTTTCACGTTGCAGTCTTGGTTTATGTTGGTTTGAGACAGACTCTTTCTGTATTATTTGAACATCTATCTTAAATGTAATAATCTTTATCATGAACAAACTGTTGCTTGCTTATATTGCCAGATGTGTTACTTATTTCCCGTTATGTTGTTTAAAACATTGCTGTCAGCCCAGGTGCTGCTGTGACAGGTGAGCACGTCACAAAATCCACTTCTGAGTTAGCATCTGTCCTTGTGGTCTGAGTAGAAGCTCCAGTCGTTGGCTGGGATGAGGGCGTTTGCTCCCTCAGCTCAGGATGGAGGCAGTGTGAGGGCAGCCTGGCACATGCTGCTCATGCCATTCTAGTGTCAATGAGACTTCAATCTCTGGGGCATTCAATCTGGCAACTTTCTGAAGTATTAAATTTACTATGCTCTTCTTGAGAATAGTAGCAATACAGACCAAAAATTCAGCTGGACTTGTAAAGATACATGTTTATTTTGTTCTTTTCCTACTGAACAGTCTTCATTGACTCTACTTGGTTAAATATTGATTGTCACCCACATGTTCTTTGTCAGTGGTAACTACTCAAATAGGTCCAGTGTGTCCTGCACCATCCATGGCAGAACAACATGTATAATCCTACACGAGGTTCACAAGGGAAGTAATCATGATAGTCCCCTCCCTTTAATGGAAGAAGGATAGAATGGGTATACGACTCCAATGAATTTAATAGAAAATAAATTACAGTGCCAGTAAAACAAAAAGAGGTGCTCAGTGTAGCTAGCGGCAGTGTGGAAAGCCGGTTAATAAAGAGGTCAACCTTTTTTATGTCTTAGTAGAAGACATTGGCGCAAACTGAATATGCCTGCATGTAAGGAGGGGCAGAATTCGGCAGGGAAATTCAAGCTGTGGTGACCATTCTGTAGCTTAATAGCTTAGTATTTAGAAGCAAGAAGTTCAACCAAATGTGATCTCTGTTACATCCTGAAGTAGCTCCTCTTCCTTAAAATTCATGTTCTGTAACTGCCGGATTCTGACCATTAGCTGCAGTGATGTACCAAATGTTTTCTAGCATATCCTGTCGTGAGCTGAAATATCGGTGTTGTCAAATTTGTGTGTAAATACGACTCATAAATGATTTCTGAGAGATGTGATTTATTTTTCATATTTTTCAAAATGCATTCCATTTCAAATAAAGAGGTATCTATTGAAATGAACTGGTGCCATGTTGAAGGAACTATCCTTTGGGGCTGTAGCTTCTTAGCTTACAAATGTTTAAGGGGCTGATCTAGAGCCCACTAAAGTTAATGAAGGTCTTTCCATTGACTTCAATAGGCTCTAGAAGAGGTTTGTGGGGTTTTTTGAAAGACAACATGACTTCAAAACAACTGTTTACATAGAGCTTTCCTAAAAGAATGGCCAATTGAATTAACATTGTCATCCAGTTACTTTTCTACATACAGCGCAGTTGTAAGGTGTTAGCTTGTGCATCTTGTAGCTTGTGTGTGGATAGGCTGCTCTTTGATTCAGTGGGGCTCCACCTGGCACAGGAGTCCACTCACATGCAACTGTACCTAGCTGCAAAAGGGGAGGGCTGAGATTTGTGTTGTCACACCTCCCCAGACTGTAATCTTTATCAGTGAGTGTGGTAATCTCTATGTATGAGGTAGAGAAGCTGGGTAAGAGTCTAAAGAACAGAATGAGATTTGCCTTGTTGCTCTTCCATCAGCATCTAAAAGCATCTGATGGAATTTCAAGCAACCTTTAAGTAGCCCAGAAAGGACACTTCAAACAGTCGGCGTATCCTCCGACAACAGCACTGGTTCCTTATATGTGGCAAGGAATGATGTGTGAAAAGAAAAATGTGCAACGGCTACTGTGGCTTTTCGAATCTCCGTGGAATGAAGGCTCTTCAGGTGTGTTGAGCTGCCTCGGTGAAGTTAAGCTGCGTTACAATGAACTTTGATATTTAGCACTGTCAGTTATATTAAGTTCAGTTGCACAATTCATTCTCTGGCTCTCTTGTCAGCATATATAATAATGCACATTTGCCAGTCTCTTTTATTTGTGAGTCACCAAAAATATCTGCTCTAATGTGTATTTCAAGAAATGTTTAGGCCAATATTTTCAGCTGTAGGTACCTAAAGTGTAAGCACTTTGATCCATGAACAACTTTATTTTTAGAGGTGCTGAGTGCCCGCTTCTCCCTCTGAGCTCCTGGTGCTCAGCTACTTCTAAAAATCAGGCCACTTTTAATTAGGTGTCTGTAGATTTAGTTGCTTAAATATTAAACTCCTAAGGTTGAGAATGTTTGTCACAGCTTTTAAAGGGTGACATCAGTTATTACCTTGTAATTGTAGCTTGAAAAATGTGTAAAGAAAAATATATAACAAAAAGGAATAGGAATACATAATAAAAGAAGAATTTTGAAAAGAAGCTCAATCTATTAGCTTGACAAAGAGAAGGTTAAGGGGTGACTTGTCATATTTGTCGCCCAGGTAGATACTTGTAAACTATTTGATACTGGGCTCTTCAGTATCTAACAGACAAAGGTATAGCAAGAGCCAATGGCTGGAAGTCGAAGCTAGACACATTAACAACCAGGATTATTAACCATTAAAACAATTTACCAAGGGTTGCTCGTAGTGAATTTTCCATCTCTAGCAATTTTTAAAGCAAGTTTGGCTGTTTTTCTAAAAGATCTGCTCTGGTTCAAACAAATTATTTTGCGGAAGTCCTATGGCCTGGGTCATTCCGAAGGCCTGGGTCATGCAGACTAGATGATCCCAGCAATTCCTTCTGGCCTTAAAATCTATGAATTATTTGTCATTTTCAGTGTTTCCACTAAAGATGACATTAACTTTTGTGTATAGGGCACCATTTACAAGATCTATGCCCACTTGAGTCCTATGTAAGTCCTATAGTGCTGCCTCAAGTCTGACTTCAGTGGTAGATAGGCCTTGTGTGGGCATTGTGCACATAAGTGAAGTTCATCCTAGGTGAACTGGGCTGTCGTCTTCCTCCGCAGGGGCAATCATTTTAATAATGCCTTCCAGAGACAGTTTACTTTGATGTAAAGTAAGATGGAAAGAACACTATATGAAAGCATGAGGAATCATTGCAATATGTAAAGGTAGGATTTATCAGCCTGATCTGAAACCCACTGAACTCAATGGGAATCTTTCCATTGACTAAAATAGACTTTGGCTCAGGCCCTGTAAGCAGACTTTTGGTGTTGTGCATAAATGCATATATGCATTTAATTCTTTTTGTTTGTGTGTTTTTTGTTTTGGTTGGTTTAATTCCTTTGTGTGAACTTAAATTATTGAACCAGCTCTTAAATTCAGTCATTTTCTAAATGACTGAATTTAGAACAGTGACACTTTGATTCCTAAATGCTTTCACTATCACTTTGCCATTGCTGTGAAAATCATGGCTTCCCTTTTTTAAAACAGGACACTTTCCCCATGATTTATTCGTTTGCAGTTAGGTGCTGTGATGAGAATAACTTTAATTATTCTGGGTTGTTAGTTTCAATTTCTACAGTAAAACTCGGGCAAAGGTAACTGGAATATGAAATGACTCGTGTTGTTTTCTAAGTATAAAGGACCTTGTCAAAACGTAGCCAAACCGTCTTTAAACCGACACTCTTTTAATAGCATCAAGAGTAATAAGAAGTGACCTGGGCTCTTCAAAGCAATGTTATTTAACAGTTATAAAAAAATGTGGGGGGCCGGCGGAGGGGTTTTGTTTTTTTAATAAGTTTCTACCCACTGAATTCATTTAGTGGTTTTGGATTGTGAAATCTAGACATGTTACCAGCCAACTCCCAAGTTTGCTATGCTCACAGCACTGCTTTCTTCTTATGAGGGTGGAAAACCTGAGAACTAAAGACTAAGGAACTGGATCCTGCAAAGAGCTGAGTACCCTCGAGACCTACTTACTTTGAAGATGGTTGAGGATGCTCAGCACCACACACGAGTGCTCGGCAACCTGCAGGATCTTGCCCTAATTTTGCATTCTGAATTTACAAAGGAAATACCTGAATGATGTGTCAGGATGGCATCATTTCATAAACAAGTGTCAGTGCAAGGAAATCACGTTGCCAGATATAATGCTCTTGGAGTACCTATACCATATGTATGCCCTGGCTTGATTGCCACACTTCTAAATTGTTGTTAGAAGACTTGGTAATCAAACCCAAGAAAGATGGTACTCCTCTATATAGTTAAAAAAGAAAAAATCAAACCCAACCAGAATCATTTATTCCTCAATAGACAAATCATAGCCACTTTAAAAAGACCAGCTGTATATACTTTCAAATCATTCTGATACATACTCTACTAGTGATATCCAGAGATTGGCAGGATATGTCTGTTTGGATATTATTTCGATGATTTAGCTTTTGTTTAAAATGTACTATGACAACACTGAATCTCTACATAAACAAAACAATTTGTATTGACCCTACTTTGCCATTTTATCTTGCAATAGCTAATATAATCTCGTATTGATGATTACACTAGTAAATATATATGGAATGACTAACCACTACAATGAAACATACAGTACTTTGTGGTTTGTATGTAAAGGAGCCAACATTACAACACATTTTGGCATAGTCCATTCCCAGTTTACAGCAAGATGAGGAAATCACTGCTATTGTATTAAAAGTCTTGGCACTATTCTGTAAATATTGCTGGTATAGATGACTAGCCATATGTTTTCGATCATCACTTATTATAGTCAAATGTTGGGTCAGGTTATGTGTAAGATGGGATCATCAAACTGATCGTCGTCATTTTTTTTCCCTGTGCCATATGTGACTGAACAGCCCAGGTTTTTTCCCCCATTAGCATCTATTGCAATTGGTGAAGATAAAATGCATTGTCTAATAAAAACAATGGTTCTAGAATTCTTTGAATCAAAGACCAGAAACAGATTAAAGGGCTGATCTGAAGCTGATTAAGGGAAAGATTCCCATTTACATCACTAGGTTTTAGCCCTGTGTATAATTCTTACAGGAGTGCCTTCTGTGCAAAGCCCTCATTCCATGTGTTTAGAGTATCACAATTTTACAGGTGAGGAAGCTTGGATGCAGAGCGTTTGTCACTTGCCCAAGGCCTCCCAGGAGTTGCCTATGTGGCAGAGGCAGGACTAGATCCCAGATCTGCTGGATACCCTGTGTTGAGCCTCTAATATCAGGTATCCTTCCTCTCCAGTCCTGGTGAATAAAATCATCTCTTTAACCGGAGAACAGGCATAGCACATGCAGCAATGCATGCTTCCTTACCCATGTGCTGCCATCCACAGTGATGGAGTAATTCATTCTCTATGCTTGTCAATGGACTGTTCCTTAGGCCATATTGAAGTCAGTTGAAAGACTCCCACTAACATCAAAGGTCTTTAGTTTGGGTCCGAACTAACGTGACTTTCTGCCACTTAGGTACCAGATATGAAATAGTTTGTGGCACAGATACTTGTCTGTTAGAAACTGGAGGGTGATAAGACTCAGAACAAGCATCAGAGGGCTTTAGGTTATGAAGTCAGCATCTGGTTATTACCAACACTAGCCACTGTCCGACCAGTGAGCTAGAGGTGAAAGGGCCTGTAGATGATTACCAGTTTCCTGAGTGATTAAAGTTCCTCCGTTTACTTCATATTCCAAAGATAAGTAGAGGTTATGAGCAGCATAATAATTTAAAACGATTATTCAGGTATGAATCCTATCCTAACCTTGCTTTTCCAGTCATAGAACTGATTGAACTAACTAAAAAGAAAATAGTTAAATAATATAGATTGAATATTTTCCATATGTGTTTTGTTTACGCACCCACCAGACAAAATTTGTCCAATTTGCTTTGAGCTATAAATTAAAAATATTGAGCTGAATTAATTTCGATGGAAACATTCATTACAAGTCTTCCCTCCACCCCCAGAAACAGTTGATAGAAACATAAGGTTAGAGTAGCTCACAGACAACAGGTTTATCTTAATCCACTGCAGAACATTAATGGAATTCTGCAAGGCTAGCTTGTCTGCTTTTGCAAACAGCCCCTTAAATTGTTTGCAGAGTTGAAAAATATTTCAGACTCTCTCCTGTGCCTGAAGTTACTCCAATGTGCAGATGACCTTCCTAGAAGCATTTTGCGGGGGGGGGACATATAAAATAAGATGAACATAATAAAAATTCTTGAGAAAACCTTAAAGGAAAAGT